TATCACTATTCTGTTTCTGGCAGTTTTCTGGCATGTTCTGTTTTGGAATCATTAAACTCTCGCTGGTTCTCGCGCCTCTGAATGAGTAGCCGTTAGTTGTGTGTTGTTGTGTGTATTGTGTGTGCGTCTGGTTGGATCCACAGCAGAGGGGGAGGACCACAGACTCTGCCCCCAGAACAGAGCCTGCTGCTGGGGTCAGACACGCTGAGTCCTGGGTAAAAGTGTTAAAGATGTATTATTATTATTTATTTGTTTGTATTTATTTAGATCACATTTTTCAGCCAGAAAAGTGAGAAAGATCCTCCCCCCTCTTGCTCAGCCAATCAGCTCTCAGCCAATCAGCTCTCAGCCAATCAGCTCTCAGCCAATCAGCTCTCAGCCAATCAGCTCTCAGCCAATCAGCTCTCAGCCAATCAGCTCTCAGCCAATCAGCTCTCTGCCCAAAGAGTCAGATAGTGACTCCCAGAACACACATGTTCTAATGAGCTGAAGTGTTTTGTGTTTATTTTAACATTTCTGTTCAGAACCTGTGAATAATATATGTTTATGTCTTAAAGTTAGATACCTCAGCTTTAAACCCTGTGTAACTCTGTCACATTCATAAAGATCTGAATCCATGTGATTCCTTTGTTTGTGTCAACAAGAAAAAAGACAGTTTTTTTCAGTGTCGATTTATTGTTTGAATATAAAGAATAAATAAATCCTTCATTTACAGGAAAAAAACAAAAGTCTGAGGCTCCGTCTGTCCATAAATATACACAATATACACGTATATGTACGTATGTATATATATTTATATATATATATATATACATATACACACATACACAATATACACGACCATAGACTCTCTGACCATAGACTCTGGAACAATACAATAATACTGGCTTTTTTATACATTCACGATGTTGTTCATAATTCCCACAGTGAGCCCGGCTGCAGGATCACAGGTACAGTGAGCCCGGCTGCACGATCACAGGTACAGTGAGCCCGGCTGCAGGATCACAGGTACAATGTGCCGAGGAGAAAGATCAAAGAAATCCAACAATAGAGATTTAAACACAGAAGTGTCGTTACCAAAGCCCTGTTCCCATTAGTACCGAGTATCGTATCTTATCACAGTAGTGCCTGGGGAAGTTCCTTGGTAGCCACGGCTTCCAGCAGCACTCTGTCCAATCACTGTCAGTTAAAACACTTTAGCACCAGCTCAACCTGGATAGAACCAGGACCAAGAGGGACTAAAGAAGGACCTGGAACTAGTTACACACTAGGACCAGAGAAAACACTCCCAATCAGGGGCAAGTAGAGTAGAGTAGAGTAGAGTAGAGAAAAGTAGAGTAAAGTAGAGTAGAGTAGAGTAGGGTAAAGTAGAGTAGAGTAGAGTAGAATAAAGTAGAGTAAAGTAGAGTAGAGTAGAGTAGGGTAAAGTAGAGTAGAGTAGAGTAGAATAAAGTAGAGTAAAGTAGAGTAGAGTAGAGAAAAGTAGAGTAAAGTAGAGTAGAGTAGAGTAAAGTCGAGTAGAGTAGAGTAGGGTAAAGTCGAGTAGAGTAGAGTAGAGTACAATCTCTTCATCCACAATATTTGGACATATTTCTACTTTACTTTACGTTACTTTACTTTACTTTACTTTACTTTAGTTTACTTTACTTTACTGTACTTCACAGACTCACGTCACAGACAAAATCAGGTCTGTTCCTCTGACGCAGATAAAAAACAACAACAAATGAGTCAAAAACGTCCATTTTTAGATACTTTCCGTTTGATCTTCTGTCTGAATGAGGCCAAAGTCAGCGCAGATCCATCTCAGCTCCAGTGCCTCAAAAGTCCATGTTTTTTATTTGATTCCAGTGGATTTTCAGCCGTCTGTATTCAAAAACACACAGAGACACGGTCAAAATCACGGTGCTGTGGTTACGTCTGCGTAACTTGACCCTCACGAATCTAGACGTCGCCGCTTCTTCGTTGTAACAGTTTTTGACGCAGTTGTTGCCAGGTAATCTCAACAAATTCCAGGTTTTTCCATATTTTCCCGAAAGTTTAAAAGTCTTTGCTGGGTTTCCAAGGAGCAACAAGAAGCTGGTCCTTCGAAACGTGGAGAGAAAGTTGGAGTGTAGCTTTAAAAATCCTAAATCTCTGTTTGTAGAATTGATCTGAGGACTGACTTGTAGCTGCGTTCGTCTTTGGACACATTTGTTTTACTCTTTTAAAAGAAAAAACAGTGTATATTTGTTGATTATATACAGTTTACGAACACGGAACAAGTCTGATAAAGGCTTTGAAAAAATTGCCTATTTCATGATGTGCCCAAAAAACCTCAAACTTAGACTGAGCCGTGTCCACATTTCCATTGAGACTGTAAGAAAAGTGATAATCTGAAAGACATGTCCCACATTTTCATGAGTTTAAAATCCTCGAAAGTTCACGTTTTAATGAGAAAGTATTTTATGTATTAATGCAATATTTAGGGAGGTGATTATGAGTATTTTTCACTTCTGTCCAGTCCTTTGAGCACTTTTAGCTGCACTTAAACTAACATTGACGTCTGTTTTTGTTTTCTGTCGCATGTAAGTGTTGCTTTTATCTCAAATAATCAATCTGAACTGAACCAAACCGAGCCGTTTTTGTAACCGAACGCGCCATAAAGGTACTTGCTTCTGTCTGCTTTGTCGGTAGAAGAGGAACCAGTTTCCAACCTCTCAAAGTCCCGCACCAAAAATCCGGTTCCTAGCTCTCGCAGGCGCACTTGCAGTCCGTGATGATCGGGTATTGCACCGGGATCCAGGCGCACTTGAGCTCGCCTTTCCGTCTAAGGCACCTCCAGCGAAGGAGCGACAGATGCATGGAGCTGGCCTGCCGACACTGCATCCCCTCGGGCACTGAACACGACCGCTTATTCAGGCAGCTCCCGGCGCGGACGTACCGAGGCCAGAACCGGGCCCCGAGGTCGGTCCAGGCGTAGACCACGGGGCAGAAGGAGTACGCCCAGAGCCACTGCTGCAGCCGCCTCTTCAGCTTCTTGCTCGCTCTTAGCTTCTTCCCCAAGTGCGCGTCAAAGTCCACCGCCCGGATCTCTTTGGGCAAAATCCCGTTGAGTTTTTGCGGAGATGGCTGGACCTCCTGGAAGTCGTCGTTGCCGTTGTACACGTCCAAGTTCGGAGGGAAGACGGACAAAAACCGAGCGTCGAAATCTCCCAGGGTCCCGCGCAGCTCGGTCTCGTTGAAGTCCCGTTCTTTGGGGTCGAAAACGGGGTCCGGGTCTTCCTTGAGCTCCAGCAGAGGGAGGCTGTCGCTGGGGATCGGCCTCAGGTGGAAGTAGTGCTGGGATGTGGCGAGGCGGAGGAAGACGGCGAGAGAGAAGGCGTGAAGAAGCATGTTGTTGTTGTGTTGTTGTTGTGGTGGTGGTCGGTGTGTGTAGAGCCGGAGGGAGAGAGTTGTGCGTCTACAATGGAGCGTGTCAGCAGAGGGAGGCAGGGGTGAGGATGGGGGAGGCGGGAGAGGGGGAGGCCCACGTCTGGCTGGTCATGGTGCAGAGGGAGAGTTGGAATGCTCATGAGGAGAGAGGCTGTGGGTATAAGAGGCCAGGGAGGGGGCGGAGCTCTGAGAGGGAGGGAGGGGAGAGAGAGAGAGAGAGAGAGAGAGAGAGAGAGTGTGTGTGTGTGTGTGTGTGTGTGTGTGTGTGTGTGTGTGTGTGTGTGTGTGTGTGTGTGTGTGTGTGTGTGTGTGTGTGTGTGTGTGTGTGTGTGTGTGTTTAAATTGGATCTTGGGCTCGAGTTTAAAATAATAAATATAATTATACTGTATTTGTTATATTTAAATTGCAACATTAGAGAAGTAAATTCTATGGCAGTTTTTTCAAGGTGCTGGTCTGGGACTGGGTCTAGACTGGTCCTGGACTGGTTCTAGACTGGACGATTTGGTTTCACAGCCTTCGAAGAGCAAGTGCTTGTTTCTATAGTGTCACAGTTCACTTGATCATAACTATGTTAATGTTTGTATCACAGATGTGCATTCTTATGTTTACAGGAGGTGTAAATGTGTGTGCTGGTATTTCATATGTAGTTTTAGAATTCTATGTCATTTCTTCAAAAAATGGGCCGGAGTTGTTTCTAAAAAAAATGGTGCTCTCTGGTCTCCCTCTGGTCTCTCTCTGGCCTCTCTCTGGTCTCTCTCGCTCTCTGGTCTCCTTCTGGTCTCCCTCTGGTCTCTCTCTCTCTCTCTCGGGTCTCCCTCTGGTCTCTCTCTCTCTCTGGTCTCCCTCTGGTCTCTCTCTCTCTCTCTCGGGTCTCCCTCTGGTCTCTCTCTCTCTCTGGTCTCCCTCTGGTCTCTCTCTGGTCTCCCTCTGGTCTCTCTCGCTCTCTGGTCTCCTTCTGGTCTCCCTCTGGTCTCTCTCTCTCTCTGGTCTCCCTCTGGTCTCTCTCTGGCCTCCCTCTGGTCTCCCTCTGGTCTCTCTCTCTCTCTGGCCTCCCTCTGGTCTCCCTCTGGCCTCCCTCTGGTCTCCCTCTGGCTCTCTCTCTGGTCTCCCTCTGGTCTCTCTCTGGTCTCCCTCTGGTCTCTCTCTCTCTCTAGTCTCCCTCTGGTCTCTCTCTGGCCTCCCTCTGGTCTCTCTCTCTCTGGTCTCTCCTTCTGGTCTCTCTCTCTGGACTCTCCCTCTGGTTTCTCCCGCTGGTCTCCCTCTGGTCTCCCTCTGGCTCTCCCTCTGGTTTCTCTCTCTGGTCTCTCCGTCAGGTCTCCCTCTGGTCTCCCTCTGTTCTCTCTCTTTGGTCTCACTCTGGTCACAGCAGCAGCCTGTCTGTCAGAGATGCTTTACGATATTACAGCCTGAAAAACACATTTTTCCAACCCGGCGGCCGTAAACCCAGAGCGGTGTTTGTGCAGCATTAGCTCACCCTCTCACACAGACACACGATTATCTGCAACGCTCACTTCTTCCACAGATTCACCATCGCAGACGTTTGGGACTAAATGGTTTTATGGTTTTATGGAGCTCAGGGACAGAAATATTGTCCTAGTTGCCGTCAGCTGAAGAAAAAACTTTTTGAGAAACTCTCTCCGCTCCCTCTGGCATCTCTCTCCGGTCTCTCTATGGTCCCTCTCTTTGGTCTCTCTCTTGTCTCTCTCTGGTCTCTTTCTGGTCTCTCTCTGGTCTCTCTAAGACCTCTCTCTGGTCTCTCTCTGGTCTGTCTCTGACCTCTCTCTGGTCTCTCCCTGTTCTCTCTCTGGTCTCTCTCTGGTCTCACTCTGGTCTCCCTCTGGTCTCTCTCTGGTCTCTCTGGTCTGTCTCTGGTCTCTGGTCTCTCTCTGATCTGTTTCTGGTCCGTCTCTGGTCTCTCCCAGGTCTCCCTCTGGTCTCTCTCTGGTCTCTCCCTGGTCTCCCTCTGGTCTCTCTCTGGTCTCTCCCTGGTCTCTCTCTGGTCTCTCCCTGGTCTCTCTCTGGTCTCTCTCTGGTCCGTCTCTGGTCTCTCCCAGGTCTCCCTCTGGTCTCTCTCTGGTCTCTCCCTGGTCTCCCTCTGGTCTCTCTCTGACCTCTCTCTGGTCTCTCCCTGGTCTCTCCCTGGTTTCTCTCTGGTCTCTCTCTGGTCTGTCTCTGGTCTGTCTCTGGTCTGTCTCTGGTCTCTGGTCTCTCTCAGGTCTCCCTCTGGTCTCTTGCTGGTCTCATTCTGGGCGAGAGATTGTTATAGACTAATAAACTTTTACATTTCCATTAAAAAGTCACGGATCATTTCCATCAAGAACAGTTTATTCTTTTGGACGTTTTTGCAAAACAGGATTCTGGAATTAACACTAGCCACAGACTTTTATACAAATACTGCAATTCATTATTAGTTTAAAGCTCTCTGGTCTCTCTGGTCTCATGGTCTCTCTGGTCTCTCTGGTCTCATGGTGTCTCTGCTCTCTCTGGTCTCATGGTCTCTCTGGTCTCTCTGGTCCCTCTGGTCTCATGGTCTCATGGTCTCTCTGGTCTCTCTCTGGTCTCATGGTCTCTCTGGTCTCTCTGGTCCCTCTGGTCTCTCTGGTCTCTCTGGTCCCTCTGGTCTCATGGTCTCTCTGGTCTCATGGTCTCTCTGGTGTCTCTGGTCTCATGGTCTCTCTGGTCTCTCTGGTCCCTCTGGTCTCATGGTCTCTCTGGTCTCATGGTCTCTCTGGTCTCTCTGGTCTCATGGTCTCACTGGTCTCTCTGGTCCCTCTGGTCTCATGGTCTCTCTGGTCTCATGGTCTCTCTGGTCTCTCTGGTCCCTCTCGTCTCATGGTCTCTCTGGTCTCTCTGGTCTCTCTGGTCTCATGGTCTCTCTGGTCTCTCTGGTCTCTCTGGTCTCTCTGGTCTCATGGTCTCTCTGGTCTCTCTGGTCTCATGGTCTCTCTGGTCTCTCTGGTCTCTCTGGTCTCTCTGGTCTCATGGTCTCTCTGGTCTCTCTTATCTCTCTCTTTGGTGTCTCTCTCTGGACCCTCTTTCTTACAGAGATCAGGTTTTCAGTAAGTCTTCACAAGGTTTTCACACACTGTTGCTGGTATTTTGGCCCATTCCTCTCCATGTGGATCTGTCTCCGTCTCTGGATCTGGATCACTGGAGAGACCACTCCGGGACCTCGGAACCATGTTTGTTGCTTTGGCAGTGTGTTTTATCATGATCATACCCAAGCAGACTAGTGTAGAGTAAAATAGAGTCGAGAAAAATAAAGTAGAGCAAAGTAGAGTAAGAAGAACTCAGCGGGACGCCTTGTTTTATGCGGGGGCAGCGGCTCCAGACAGAGCTCCCAAACCCATCTTTAGACCAGAGCTTTATGAGCTTCAAAGATCCAAGAAAGACACCAGAGAGGGAGAGAGACCAGAGAGAGAGACCAGAGAGAGAGAGACAAGAGAGAAAGACCAGAGAGAGAGACAAGAGAGAAAGACCAGAGAGAGAGAGACCAGAGAGAGGGACCAGAGAGATACCAAAGAAGGACCAGAGAGGGAGGGACCATCGAGAGAGAGAGAAGACCAAGAGAGAGACATCAGAAAGAGAAGAGAGAGAGAGACCAGAGAGAGAGAGAGACCAGAGAGACAGAAGGAGCCCAGAGAGAGATCATAGAGTTAGACCAGAGAGAGGGCTAGAAAGATATCAGAGAAAGAGAGACCAGAGACTTGAGGAGGATGAACTAAACAGCAACGCAGTAGTGACTTAAAGGAGACATCACATGGTTAGTGTCACTTCACCTTCTTCAACATGTTGACCCTTTCCGGAAGAAATCTCAAAAAACCAGTGCCAAAAAACCTGAGAAAAACTACGGCTGGAGGTTAAAGTTCGAGAGTTGATTTTCTCAAATTTTAGAAAACCTCCCTCTCCACTTTTTGAACAAAACTCTCTGGTCTTATTGGACGAGCACGTATCACCAGAATGATTGACAACTGGGAGGACCAATAGTCTTGATGATCCGCCCAGAAGTAGTTTAATCTTAGTCTGAATAATCTTCACTGTGAGAAACCCTCCTCGCCGTGTGCTCTGTAACCGCCGCAGACTGAGAACCCTGTGTGAGGCTCTGTGTCGTGGTCCAGGTCCAGACTGGGTCCAGACCGGTAACACTGGACTCTCTGTGGACCAGGTCAGACCGCAGCTCTGAGCACACACACAGCTCGCCGCACGCCGCTAACGAGAGCGAGGTGTCTCTGGGACTTAGCATCAGCTGCGTCACGCCTCAGAGCTGAAGTCTAAAGAGTCTAAGTTAGAGTTAAATTAGAGCTTTTGTTCGTATTTTGGCCAGAGAGAGAGAAACCAGAAAGACCAGAGAGACACCAGAGAGACACCAGAGGGAGACCAGAGAGAGACCAGAGAGATAGAAGAGAGATTCCAAAGAGAGAACAGAGAGAAAACAGGGAAAAAGAGACCAGAGGGGGAGACCAGAGAAAGAAGAGAGAGACCGGAGAAACAGAGAGAGACCAGAGAAAGAGACCAGAGGGAGACCAGAGGGAGACCAGAGGGAGACCAGAGGGAAACCAGAGAGAGACCAGAGAGAGAGACCAGAGAGAGACCAGAGAGACAGAAAGAGAGAGACTAGAGTATTTTATGTGTGATTATGTAGATCCCTGTTGTTGCCCGTCCCTGTGTTTGTACCTGTGATACATAGTAACATTGGTTGTTGTCGTGAGTCAGATCTGTGGAGCTCCGCCCTCTGTAACCACGGCAACACCTCAGCTTCCTACACAACATAACTGGAACACAATAGCACAACTACACAACAACACAACAAGAGAGAGAGAGACCAGAGAGAGAGGGACCAGAGAGAGGGACCAGAGAGAGAGGGACCAGAGAGAGGGACCAGAGAGAGAGGGACCAGAGAGAGGGACCTGAGAGAGGGACCTGAGAGAGAGACCAGAGAGAGAGGGACCAGAGAGAGGGACCTGAGAGAGGGACCTGAGAGAGAGAGACCAGAGAGAGAGGGACCTGAGAGAGGGACCTGAGAGAGAGACCTGAGAGAGAGAGACCAAAGAAAAAGACTAAAGAGGGACTAGACAAAGGGACCAGAGAGAGAGAGGAGAGAGACCAGAGAGCAACTAGAGAGAGTGACCAAGGAGAGAGCAGAGAGAGACCAGAAAGAGACCAGAGAGGTGTCAACACTAGTTTTCTTAAGTTCGGCTTCTGTGACATTATCTCTCAGCCAATCATCTCCCAGCCAATCAGCTATCAGCCAATCAGCTCTCAGCCCAGAGAGAGCTTACAGGGATCTGTCTGTTATGGTCTTTACTTTTATAAGACTCTTTCCTTTGGGACAAACCACAAATAATACATATTTCTTCTTCAATCATTTAATGTTTTTCACTTTGAAGAAAGCAATGTATCATTTTGGGGGTTTTACTTAGATTTTTTTGTTTTAAATATTGGCCTTTGGTGAATGGTTGAGATGCAGTTGATGGTTAAAGTGAACAAAGCCTAAAGTGGGTAAAATGAAGCTTAAGACCTGAGAACCCAGGTTCTGCTGTTGCCCACAGCAACAGCAATCTGTCAATCACACTCAGCCGTGCAGCGCCTCACGCTAATCCTCCCCTGCAGCATCAGGCACTGCATCAGCTTCATATCACGCAGAAGCTCCATCCAAGCAGCAGCTTCATTCATGCCGCAACCCTCCTCCTCCCCATCTCTGCCTTGTTCTAGGCCAGCTCCTTCATCCTTCTCCTAGCTCCTACCACCAGGGTCTAGGCCCCGGGGGATTTCATCTCATAATCTGTTTCCCCTTCTGGGGTCTAAGCGCCAAATCCCAACCACATTCTGTTCAGCACAATAAATATAATCTTGAAAATATTGTCTTTAGTGTCATATGTGTAATTCATGCAGTGTCAGATTACCTGATAATCAACATACAGTTCTAATACTGTGTTTGCCTGTTCGAGTCTCTCCAGATTGAACCACTGCTGCTGCAGGAATCTCGATCATAAACTGAACCAAACTTTGAAAAACGTGGAGATGATTTGAGGTAAAAAAGTGTGAAAGTGTGTTTGCTGACTCCAGATCCATCCGTCACCGTTGTTTACTCAGATCATCCACTGATCCACACGCTTCCCAACCAGGGGAGAGCGGACACTACACACTGACGCTTCCCAACCAGGGGAGAGCGGACACTACACACTGACGCGGACACTACACACTGACGCTTCCCAACCAGGGGAGAGCGGACACTACACACTGACGCTTCCCAACCAGGGGAGAGCGGACACTACACACTGACGCTTCCCAACCAGGGGAGAGCGGACACTACACACTGACGCTTCCCAACCAGGGGAGAGCGGACACTACACACTGACGCTTCCCAACCAGGGGAGAGCGGACACTACACACTGACGCTTCCCAACCAGGGGAGAGCGGACACTACACACTGACGCTTCCCAACCAGGGGAGAGCGGACACTACACACTGACGCTTCCCAACCAGGGGAGAGCGGACACTACACACTGACGCTTCCCAACCAGGGGAGAGCGGACACTACACACTGACAGAGGGACGGAGGAGTGAGAGCTGCAGAAGATGATTCTCTAACCAGAGCTAAGAACAGAGCTCTCTCTCTCTGGTCTATTTCTAGTCTGTCTCTCTCTGGTCTCTCTCTGGTCTCTCTCTGGTCTCTCTCTGGTCCCTCTCTGGTCTCTCTCTGGTCTCTCTCTGGTCTCTCTCTGGTCTCTCTCTGGTCTCTCTCTGGTCTCTCTCTGGTCCCTCTCTGGTCTCTCTCTGGTCTCTCTCTGGTCTCTCTCTGGTCCCTCTCTAGTCTCTCTCTGGTCCGACAATATGGCACTTCCCTATGGTTAGCATACAGTGCTTTGGATGCTGGAACAGTGCATCAGCAGCAGAGACTTGGGGTCTGTCTCCTCACCCTCCTCACCCTCTTCATCATCCTCACCCAATCCCCCCCCTCACCCTCTGTCCCACTCAGCTCAGAGTTCACACTTCATAAATCCAGATGGACCGTCCCGGCTGGATGCACGTCTCCGGCCGCGGGACAGAGCGGTCTTTGTGCCGGACGTATATAATAAATGTAGCTTGGAATGAAGTCACTTTTATACTGGAATTAAAACAGATAGAGAAGGTTCTGGGTTCTAGTCCCGGTCCTGATTAGGAATTTGATTCAATACAATTCATTTCATTTCATCTTAAATTCAGGAATCTCGAATAAGGAGCCTGGTTGTTTTTGGAAATTGCAGAGACCAGAGAGAGACCAAAGAAAGACCAGAGAGAGACCAGAGAGAGACCAGAGAGAGACCGGAGAGAGACCAGAGAAAGACCAGAGAAAGACCAGAGAGAGACCAGAGAGTGACTAGAGAGAGACCAGAGAGAGACTTGAGAGAGACCATGAGACCAGAGAGAGACCAGAGAGAGACCGGAGAGAGACCAGAGAGAGACCAGAGAGAGACCAGAGAGAGACCAGAGAGAGACCAGAGAAAGACCAGAGAAAGACCAGAGAAAGACCAGAGAAAGACCAGAGAGAGACCAGAGAGTGACTAGAGAGAGACCAGAGAGAGACTAGAGAGAGACCATGAGACCAGAGAGAGACCAGAGAGAGACCGGAGAGAGACCAGAGAGAGACCAGAGAGAGACCAGAGAGAGACCAGAGAGAGACCAGAGAGGGGCCAGAGAGACCAGAGACAGACCAGAGACAGACCAGAGAGAGACCAGAGAGAGACCAGAGAGTGACCAGAGAGTGACTAGAGAGAGACCAGAGAGAGACTAGAGAGAGACCATGAGACCAGAGAGAGACCAGAGAGAGACTACAGAGAGACCAGAAGGAGACTAGAGAGAGACCAGAGAGAGATTAGAGAGAGACCAGAGAGAAACCAGAGGGAGACTACAGAGAAAGACTAGAAAGAGACCATGAGAGACTATTGAAGTGTATTTAAAGTGGATGAGGACAGTATGAAACCTGCCACAAAATAAAAAGCCATGGTTTAAAAGTCTGTAAAATGCCAAATCTTGTGTCGTTGTGCGTCTGGCTCGACTGCTGCGTCAGCTCTGGCTCTGGCTCCGTCCAAAAATACTAATTGGACTTGTTTATTTCTGCTGCGGAGAAACGGCCCAAGTGTTATTCACGGCTTGTTTGTGGCGCCCTGGGAGGTAGCTGCAGCAGCGAGGGTATGGAAAGAAAAAAGGTAGTGTTTCTGTCTCTCTCTCTCTCTCCAGGGACCAGAGAGAGACCAGAGAGAGCAGAGAGAGACCAGAGAGAGAGAGACCAGGGAGAGAGACCAGAGAGAGACCAGAGAGAGTGACCAGAGAGAGACCAGAGAGAGACCAGAGAGAGAACAGAGAGAGACCAGAGAGAGAGAGACCAGAGAGAGAGAGACTAGCGAGAGACCTGAGAGAGAGACCAGAGAGAGCAGAAAGACAAAAGAGAGACAGAGACCAGAGAGAGACCAAAAAGAGAGACCAGAGAGAGACCAGAGAGAAACCAGAGAGAGACCAAAGAGACAAGAGAGAGACCAGAGAGAGATAGACCAGAGAAAGACCAAATAGAGACCAGAGAGAGAGACCAGAGAGAGACCAAAAAGAGAAACCAGAGAGAGACCAAAGAGACAAGAGAGAGACCAGAGAGAGATAGACCAAATAGAGACCAGAGAGAGAGATCAGAGACAGACCAGAGACAGACCTGAGAGGGACCAGAGAGAGACCAGAGAGAGACCAATAAGAGACCAGAGAGAGACCAGAGAGAGACCAGAGAGAGACTAATAAGAGACCAGAGAGAGACCAGAGAGAGACCAGAGAGAGACAAGAGAGAGACTAATAAGAGACCAGAGAGAGACCAGAGAGAGACCAGAGAGAGACCAGAGAGGGACCAGAGAGAGACCAGAGAGAGACCAATAAGAGACCAGAGAGAGACCAGAGAGAGACCAGAGAGAGACTAATAAGAGACCAGAGAGAGACCAGAGGGAGACCAGAGAGAGACCAGAGAGAGACCAGAGAGAGACCTGAGAGGGACCAGAGAGAGACCAGAGAGAGACCAATAAGAGACCAGAGAGAGACCAGAGAGAGACCAGAGAGACCAGAGAGAGACCAGAGAGAGACCAGAGAGAGACCAGAGAGAGACCTGAGAGGGACCAGAGAGAGACCAGAGAGAGACCAATAAGAGACCAGAGAGAGACCAGAGAGAGACCAGAGAGAGACCAGAGAAAACCAAAGAGGTGCAGTTTTATGGAAAGAAAAAATACA